AAAAAAAAAAAAGATTTAATTACAACAAACAAACATACTTCCTTTGCATTAAAGACAATGGACATTGTTGCACATTAAAAAGAATGAGCGATCTGACATTATGAAAACTGTGTGTACACCGGCACTGCCCTTTACCATGTGAATGGCCTCACTGCACCTCAGTTCCGTCTTTAACAAATGAGCAAAACCATAAGAGCAATATGCACACTGCAGAAGTTGTTGAAAGGGTCAATTGAAATAAGCCATGAGCAATTCCTTTCTTTTTTTTAATTCAAAAGCTAAAAACATATAATGACAATGATACCAGCTAACCCCTACTGCAGTTGCCAGGAATTAGCCAGAATGCCTTCAGAAGTGTTAATGACCCTTCCACAAACATGACTCAATTTAAATCCCCAGGACCACCTGCTGGGAAGGTATTACTATCATCTTCATTTTACTGAGGAAGATACTGAGGTTTAAGCGAAGTTAGATCATTTGCTCAAGGTCACACAGCCAGTGAGGTGCAGAGCAGAATTCACACCAAGTTCTAATTTTAGAACCTGTGCTTTTACCCTCTAGGTTGCTCCTCATGATTTAATGGGACACCTGAAACACAAATTGAGTGGTGTATGAGCAAAATTTAAATTAGAAATGTTACGGTTAAAATTCCATATTAATATTTCTTTAACACAAATTGAGTGGTGTATGAGCAAAATTTAAATTAGAAATGTTACGGTTAAAATTCCATGTTAATATTTCTTTTTTCTGGGCCAGCCCGGTGGCACACTGCTACAGTGCGCCACTTGAGAACGCAGCGGCGCTCCCGCCGAGGGTTTGGATCCCACATACAGACCAGTTCCCGCTCACTGGCTGAGCGAGTTGCGGGCGCAACACCGAGGGTTGCGATCCCGTTGCCGGTCCCGGTCCGGTACGGGCGCGACACTGAGGGTTGCGATCCATTGCCGGACACGAAAAAAGATAGAAAGGAGAAAAAAAATNCCGGTCCGGTACGGGCGTGACACTGAGGGTTGCGATCCATTGCCGGACACGAAAAAAGATAGAAAGGGGAAAAAAAACGTTGCCGGTCCCGGTCCGGTACGGGCGCGACACTGAGGGTTGCGATCCATTGCCGGACACGAAAAAAGATAGAAAGGAGAAAAAAAATTTTTTTTTTCTTTTTTCTTATGAAAAATTAATGTAATTTGGGGGAGAAAACACACCTTAACACCCTATCATTTACTACCAATACCAGCATATTTTCATAAACTCTCAGTGATTAACACACATATTTTTTACACTATGACAATGATAATGATATGTTCACAGAGCTCTAATTCTTGCATCACTTTTAAAGTCTATTTCTCCTGGAGATGTTTAAAGGATGAGGCTCCTTCCAGGAAGCTACCAGTAGAACCAGACTATCAAGTTGGAAGCAAGAGCTGATGCTGCCCCCTACTGGCTGACTTTCTCTTCTCCAAAGATTCCAGAAAATGGCCATAACAGCCGCAAAATAATCATTTTGAGAACCACATATATAATCAAGGACTCCAGACCAAGCTTGCTAATCTTCAAGGACTCCACCTACAAATTTCCTTCAAGAAAATATCACTACATGGTCCTTTTTTCTTAGGATATTTTCTATTATTTTCAGTTACTTAAAAATATACGATAAACAATCAATTGTTTTTATGGTAGTTAATCTATTATACTTTATCTCTATTCTCATTTTGATGTGTACTTTTTTATCCTAGTTGATTTTCTATTATTTGTCATTTCCTTCTTAAGAAGTTAGACAAATCAACAGATACTAGAACAGAGAGGGGAACACCTAAGACATGTCCATATTAGAAAATTTTAAAAACCACGGGTTGGTTTGCCACTTTGTTTTTCTTCCTTTTTCCCCTCCTTCATCCTGCAGAAATTGTTTTAAAGGTTTTCTCGATCTTATGAAACTAATTACTTATCTTGAAAATAAGCATTGTTCTTCTGTTCTCACCTTTCCTGTTTTGTATGCTTGTCTAGAGTAGTTATTCGAATTTCACCATCTCCCTGAGGTCGTCCAAAAAGCAAAACTGGTTGGTTCTAAAAAATAAAATATATGTGTCTGATTTTTTCATAATCACATAAAAACAGAAATAAATATTAGTAAAGACATTTGCTACCCTATTACATTACAAATTTTATCATTTTTACATTTTGGAGGCACACTTACTCTAAGAAGCTCAGGTCTACATGATACACTTTCTAAAACAGTCCGTCCTTGGTAATACCAGGAGGCATATTAAAGACATTAATTAATTTTATTTATAATCTTAAAAGGGAAGATAGCTACCAAAAGAGAAAATTAACTGAAAGAATCCAAGTCACAAGAAAGTGCTAGTAACTAATATTTGTTGAGCATTTGCTGTGTGTCAGCCACAGGTGTGCAGCAAAATAATACAGACCCTTTCCTCATGGCACATACTGCCCAGTGGGGGAACAAATATTCACAGAAACATAAAATTACAATGCACAGTTGCCATGAAGGAGAAGCACAGGAAGGAAGACTTAATTTGTTCTAGAAAGTCAGGGGTGGCTTCCTTGAGCTAAGATTTTAAGGATGAAAGTTCTGACATAATGATTAAAAATAATGAACTATTTCCCCAGATGCAGACAATCAAATCATTTTTTAAATAGTATTTATAAGTGCTTACTGTACTTGCTACAGGAAAAAAGGAATTGACTGAAAATTATCACTAACACCTAAAGATTTCACTTTTAAAGGACACAGATGTGTGATTAACTAACTCTATTACAAGAAAATATAAAAATAAATGTTTCCTATCAAAATCCCAAAGATAGTGTTTGCAGAAACAGAAAACTCTATCCTAAAATTCATATGGATCTCAAGGGACCCTGAATAGCCAAATTAATCTTGATAAAGAATAAAATTAGAGGTCTCACATTTCCTGATTTCCAAACTTATTATGAAGTTATAATGATCAAAACAGTGTGGCATTAGCATAAAAACAAACAGAGAGAGCAATGGAATTGTAGAGAGCTCAGAAATAAGCCCTCACATATATGGTCAAATAATTTTCAACAAGGATGCTAAGACCACTCAGCAGGGAACGGTGCTGGGAAAACTGAATATCCACTTATAAAAGAATAAAGTTGTACCTTTACCTTACACAATATACAAAGATTAACTCAAAATAGATCAAAGACCTAAACATAAGAGCTAAAACCATAAAACTCTTAGATGAAAATAGGGCAAAAGCCTTATGACAGTGGATATAGCAATGTTTCTTGGATATGACACCAAAAGCATAGGCAACAAAAGAAAAGACTGATAAAATGAACTTTATCAACATTAAAAATTTTTGTGCATCAAGGACACCATCAACAGAGTGAAAAGGCAATCCACAGAAGAAAGTGTTTACAAACCATATGTCTGATAAGGAATTGATATCTAGGATATATATAAAGAACTGCTACAACTTAATAAGAAAATACAATCAACCTGATTCAAAAATGGGTAAAGCACTGGAATAAACAATTCTCCAAAGAAGATATACAAATGTCCAATAAACACATGAAGAAGATACTACAACTTAATAAGAAAATACAATCAACCTGATTCAAAAATGGGTAAAGCACTGGAATAAATAATTCTCCAAAGAAGATATACAAATGTCCAATAAACACATGAAGAAGATGCTCAACATAATTAACCATTAGGGAAATGCAAATCAAAACCACAATGAGCTACCATTTCACG